AGGTAACTCACATGACAAGTATGCTATACCTTCTTGGGTTCATTCCGGTTCTCATTCGCCTCGTTGAAGTGAATGACACTTCGACAGAATAGCAACGGCTGTAGATAATTGCTGTCATTTACCCCCGAGAGGCACTAATCTTGGGTGTTTAGCATGTTTTTTTCGAAAGAATGATGTTTATCAACGGAAACTTCTTTTTTACTTTTCCCTCAAATTCAGTCGCGGAAAAGAATTTTAGGTGAGACGCCTTATTAGGAAACCGTCCATCGTTATACAGGTGGCCTTGCGCTTAATTCTAGTGGGGATACCTATAGCCGTGCCTAAGCCCACCCCTAACACCAAACTTCGCTCAAATGTTAGCCCCATCTACCTGGAATTTAGCGCAGGGCCACCTGTACTACGAGAGATTCCTAATCACAAATTTTTATTTGTTCCTGTCCCGATACTTAATAGACGTAGATTACCTTTGCTCATGGGAGACTTTCTCCGGTAGAAGACGGATACACTAGTCTTAAAGTATTAGGACTACCTCTTATTTCTGCAGCATGCTCCTATGAATCCTAACTCTATCGACGGGAAGACAGATATTCCCCCTCATTCTTTTAGCGGACCTTTTTAGACGGGATTATAAGCAGGCATTCACTGCAAAGCTTCAGTTGTTCCTAAGGTGTCATAACGTTATGAAATGTCACTTCTTCAATGTTGAGGAACTCTGTATAATTCAGTTTTTTCGGTAAGCGGGATGAAGTCTGCATCAAATTAAAGAGTGACCACCGTTCGTTGCTTGATTATCATCCATAGTCAACGTTTACATAAAATTGCCCATATCACTGCGAAGGAGCTGCAAGAATATGCGCTGATGCCATTGATTTACAAGAACAAAATTAAGTACTTAGACACCTGTTGCCAGAAAGGTTTCCTCAAATATAGTTTGAGGTAGTTAAAGGTGGGATGTACTCCTCGAACTAAGCCATCCAGACGATGGGTTTTTACCGCATCAAAACCAGTAACGACACACGCAAAAATTTCAATCCGTCTGACGTACACTTACTATTTCGAGCACGCAAAAGGGTTTAAAACAGACTAAGAAGCATGAATGATCCAACTGCGGAGAGCTGAGGGAGAAGAATCAACAAAAGTGTAAAAATACTGTGAAAACTGCTTGCTGCCTGAAGACATGGACCAGCGGGCACTCTTACTTCTCTAAGAAGTGACAAACGTATGAGCGGAGGAAACTATAATCCCCACGTCTTTCGAAATATTGACACGTGGTTCAACCACGCAGGGCACGAGGTTGACTTTCAAAATACACGAAATTCTATGCGGGAACAGAATCATTTTTATCTACGAACCGCTACGTAACGACTTTAGGTTGATCACACGGTGGTAGAAATGTTTACCTATCAACTTGTCCCCCACCATTCTATCAAGAAGGTCATCTGAATGTTCGGATCTTTGATGTTGCGTACATATAGAAAATCCCTTTTCAATGCAGTGATTTAGTTTTGGTCGCGCGTTTACCAACTTTCTCACTAGAAAAGATTAAATTATGGATTGTATATGAATAATTAAAGCCCTAAATCTGCTTGATCTAACTGAAAGTTTTGAGCTCAGTTCTGCCTGAGCACTTGCTTTTGACAAAACTACGGAGTAGCTGAGGTGGTTTCTGCCTAGTCTTTTGCAACATTTGCCTGCGAAAAACAGAGACAGCATTGGATTGGAAAAATTAGATTCTGCTTGGAATCTTCGGATCGAACAAATGAAAAAAAGCGGAACGAGATGCATCTCTTGACCATTTTCTCTAATTTCGCACATTTCCCTCTTTTTGTGGTAGGCGTTACTCTCACGCACTTTGGTTTGCCTTTTGCACTGCACTTCCGCCGATTGAATTCCACATCGCCAACCATCCAAACCTTCATACTAGGTAAATCTCTCCTTTCCACCGCGACCGTTCTGAGTTCTCACTGCCTCGATACAGAGAATTGTTATACCCTTTAGACTGAGCACGTTTGAGAGACAAAAGTAATTAAATGCTGCCCAATCACACTGCAAGATAGCATAATTTTGCTGTAGTGTGTGCTTCGCAGCTCTATATATAGATTCCAGATTTCGAAGTTTCTTGACTGAAGATATTCGCTAACTTTTTTAGCGTTTCTTTCCCCCTTAATTCCTGCTAAGTCTGCTCGTCTAAAAATCTTCCCCTTGTTTGCCGCATCTATTGACTGTTTCCGCTACCAGTCGACAGACGGTTGAAGTAATTCTACCATTAAAGGCCACCTGTAGCATAAAGACGGGGCGTCCTATTCCCGTGCCTTGCCGCTGAATGTCGTCATCCGCCCACATGGCATGTCAGAGAGGAAATTGAGGCTGCGAGGACGGACGTCAGGATTTGATGTTTCAGCGACAATTCGCAGCTACGTCAAGTAATACAGTTTTGGACTCGGTAGGCGAAAACATTGTCAACATAAAACAGGAAGGTGGAAATGGCGCTTTCTGACTTAATATTAATCACTGTTCCGCCACAATCCAACTCCAGGCCAGAAATTCCTGAGATCTGAATCCTCTAGTGTGAATATTTCTAAGTGGTAGAGGGGCGCTCATCTGTGGTTTTTTTTTACGAAACTCACTCGTCCGCTGTGCCTTTGGGCTCTCTCTCGAGACTAACCGGCAGTTGCACAGCGGCGCACGATATAGGTAGAACAGCACTACCGACAAACATAAGGGGTCGTTGAGCGTCCCTCTACCATCGTATATTCCCGATCGCGACGGACAGGACAACGAGCCCGTAGCTCAGTGGTTAGAGGCGTTGTACTTCTAACTAACAGGTCGCGAGTTAGGGGCCCAGGTGCTCCACTCTTCGTGGTTGGATATGACTGACTGACGACGGCTAATAAGACGGAAATTTTCATTCCAGTCTCCCTTGTCTTTGTCGGCAATGTTATCATGCTCTTCAGTTCTCTCCATAGTTCAACTGCCACCACATGCCTACTTACATCACTTGAGTAGATATGCGTCAGGCATGAACAATCAGGCGAGATAGTGGTGTCGTTCGACGTGATCTAGTCCACCTCCATACCAACCGGTCTCGCCATCTGCAATACTGACGACCTCCGGAAAAAGCATGATGAAGCTGACCAGCAGCTCAAACAAACGCGCATAATCGAACTCCTGGGGCCGTGACTCAGCATTTTTCCCTCCCTCAACTTCCGGGTCTATGAAAGAAACAAGCGAACATCGATGTGCTCGCCCCTGTCCGGGTTGATTGCTGAAGGGGTTCTGTAGAAACTCGGGAGTCTGCTCTGCTATTCGCATTCTCCGAAATTCTGAGCCAGATAAATGGATTACACAGATGTCGTAATCAAAAGGAGCAACGCACATACCTTTGCGGCACAGTTGATTCGGTCCTTCCCGATATGCATTTACTGTGGAAGAAGAAATCAACAATTTGTCCTTTATGGATGCCCTAGTTACGAGGATGGTGAACGGTAAGGCAAGGACTGCGATACATCACAGGCAGTAAACATTAGCTGCATGCAAAAGTCCAAAAGCAGTCGCCTTGTTGGTCACAAGTGCAAGGTCTCATCAGGCTATCCAAAACTACTTCGGCAGCGCGTGTTGGCTATGCGGACCGGTCCTATGAGCACAGAAGAACTTCACACAGGTCCCACAGTTACCATGGCTCAAAGCCATCAAGCCAGCCGGCCGCATGCAATTAACTTCGTCGGGACCCAACTTCGCCCTGGCGCGGACTGGAATTGTGGTGTTTCACTCTCCCCCTCTCCTCCCCTGCTTTCCCCAAACCCGAGCTACAGCTTAATTGTCTACTTGCCCGTATCTTTTAAGTTGTTACTTCAATAGCCAAATAAATGTACAGGCCTGAAAAGAATTTATCGAAAGGAGACGTATGCTCGCCAAATTGCCTTTTGAAATGCATTTGTGCCGGACTTTGTTTCGGCAAATTTAAACACGAAAGTTGGACTCCCGTTACCGATAATGTTGGCCGTCCGTCCCACAGCATGGTGAACGCAGAGACGGTGAATAGCGAATTAATTAGTCGATAGTTTAAGTAGACTCGAGAAACATCCAGCGCACTCTCTGCCCCTTCACCCTCCCGGACCCGGTGTGAAGACAAAGTCCAGAGGATCGGACGCAAGTGGCTGACACGGTGCGCGCCTGCGCCTCGGCATGCCATAACATCCTCCCGTGTATTACATTTCTTATGGGTGCGCGGTTCGATAACGTGTGCTGCGGTCCGATCTGGCCAACGTGTTGGTCTGGAGCAATCCCTCCGCACCCCGTTGTTAGGGGGGAGGGGGGGAAGCAAACACACCGTAGCAGCGACGACGGGGGAATTATGGAAGTGACTTACCTGCGCCTCCTCTTCGTAGTCATGTTTACTCACGGTCCCTCATAAGATTATGCTCAATAAAGCCTCCAATTGTGCAGTTGAACGGTGGGACACCGACGTTCTGACTCACGAACCTGCATGAGAAGATCGTTACGGGGACGGCGATAAGAATTCCGAGCTCTTACGGGAAATGTGTGGCCCATAAACGGGAATCTAGCATCAAACAGCAGATAATGAAACCCAAAGGCCCGCTACCGACAACGGGACAACCAACAATGGTCTACATCATATAAAACCAAAATTGCAGTGCGGGATATGCTAGTGAAACAAGCAAACATCTTGGTACAAGACTGCAGTAAAAGCGGCCAAAAGGGAGGGCTAATTATCTCCGGT